GTCTGACTTCGGCTGGGGTCATGATCTCATGGTTCGGGAGTTCTAGCCCTGCTTCGGGCTCTGTGCTGACAGCTTGGAGCCTGAAGCCTGCTTTGGATTCTGTGTCTCCCTCTTTCTCTCTGCCCCTCCCCTGCTCATGCTCTGTCTCTCTCTCTCAAAAATGAATAAACTTAAAAAAAAAATTTTTTAAACCCACATATAAGTGAACCTGTGCAGTTCAAACCTGTGTATTTCAAGGATCAACTGTATATGGAATTAACCATGAAGGCACAAATACACCCAACAAAGAAATGTTCATTTCAGCTATGACTACTTAATTCTGCTTCATTTCAAGCTAGTAACCACATATTAACATTCTCACCTTGTTTTAATTTCAAACAGCACAACTCAGAACACGCACGACTGCAAGTTCCTACATCACAAGTAAGGTACAAAATTTTTTTTTATTTTTAAAGAACTATCTATTTTACTACCAAAAATATATTCAGCTTAAAACTGTATTATTTATAAAGACTTCAAGCCTCCTACATACCTTTTATAAAAAACAATGTGACTTTTCTAATGTCCGAGAGGATGATCAAAATTTTTATCTGTTAGGGGTGCCTGGGGGGCTCAATCGGTTAAGGTCATGATCCCACAGTTTCATAAGTTCGACCCTTGCATTGGGCTCTGCATTGGCAGCACTGAGCCTGCTTAGGATTCTCTCTCTCCATGTCTGCCCCACCCCCATTCACGCAGTCTCTGTCTCTCAAAATAAACGTAAAAAAATTTCTTTTATCTGTTAATTGTCAGTACTATCTCAGAAGAAGTTTTTAATATGTTTTGGTCAAATAAGCCAGGACCACATGTCCACGTTAAGCAAATATCTCATGACAAACAAAACCCAATTCTAATTACCAAATCATTGCATATGATAAGAATTGTCCATGGGGTACTCTCCATTTTAATAGATCAGTTTCTTCATCAATTTGTAGCATTGTATAAAAGAAATAAAGATGTATATTTTGTACCAGATCTTCCTAAATTGCTACCATTTCTAACAGTCTTCAAATATGCCTCTCTCTATTGTTATTACATTGACACATTAAATAGCATAGACTCTGACGGTTCCAATATGATAGCTAAACTATATTTGTGCAAAAGGAAGAACAATGACAACTTGCCTGTATAGTGATTATTAAAATATTTTTGTAGAAGCAGATCATCCTCAAGGGGAGATGTGAATGATCAGGATGCAATCCAGGAGAAATTTTACCCACCTCGTTTCATTCAAGTGCCAGAGAACATGTCAATTGAAGAAGGAAGATTCTGCAGAATGGACTTCAAAGTAAGAGTGTAAAAATATTGGAGGAAAAATAGCAACAAGATACTGTTTTGAAAAGTGTCCTCTTCCTCTTCATAATCTGTTACACACTCTAACAAGCAGCACGTATAGTGGATAAGAACAAAACTTCTGGAACCAAGCTTACCTGGGTTTGAATCCTGGCTTTGCCACTTTCCAGCTATGTAACCTAAGTCACTGAACCTTCCTGTGCTTTTGTCTCATCTGTATGGCAGAGTAACAAATGTACCTCATAAGGCTGTTATGAGAATTAACTGAGTAAATAGACATAATGTACTCACAATAGTACCTACCCCCTAATAAATACATAAGTGAAGCTATCAAACCAATAAGATTTCTAAAGCAATATTCTCCATTAAGAAATTCAAGCCAACCTGCTCACCTGGCGTAGAAGAGATCTTCATGCTAGAAGTGATCTTTAGAAAGACCTACATTTTTATTGTTCTCATTTTGGAGACCTTTTTCTTATAAAATGTTTTTCTGGATTCCTTGTGAACGAAAGTCCATGTATGGATTTAATTGTTAAGGTTTATAAGAAAACACTTAAACTGGAATTTAAACACCAGAATTACAGCTCAAGAGCGTTCTACTTTGGTAAAGTCATCCATTTGATCAGCAAGCATCACACATATGTCCCTCTGAGACTTCAACTGCAGTTACATTATCAAAAAAACCCGTATCACTTCATATTTCTTGGGGAGACCTATATAACGTAAGTTAATGTTCTAAATATAGTAACTGAGACATCTTACAGGGCCTCATGGTGCATATGAAAGAGCTAGATGTGGTTTGATGTAGTCTGAAAATACTACATTGATTTCGAGAGTTTAATTTCTACTGTTTTGTTAAACATTGTTGAAAGCAAACACCTTTTTAAGCTCTTGCTTTGCACTGTCAATCACAAACCCACCCAGATACTAGAATTGTTAAAAGTTGTAAATGGACAAATAGGTACCAGTGATGATATAATTTAAAATTCTGTCATCTCCTTCTTGTGTCTTCCTTTTCAGGTCAGCGGACTGCCAGCTCCTGATGTGTCATGGTATCTGAATGGAAGACCAGTTCAATCAGATGACTTGCACAAAATGATAGTGTCTGAAAAGGGTTTTCATTCACTCATCTTTGAAGTGGTCAGAGCTTCAGATGCAGGGGCCTATGCATGTGTTGCCAAGAACAGAGCAGGAGAAGCCACCTTTACTGTGCAGCTGGATGTCCTGGGTAAGCCATCAGAGGGATCTTCAAGAGTTCCTTAAAATCCAGCAGTATTAAAAAAAAAAAAAAAAAAAAAAGCAAGTGTTAAAAAGGAAAATCCCACAGGACTTCATATTTAAGGTCAATGTCTACACAACCCAGGAGAATGCCAATTTTTATCTAAAAGTCACAAGGTGGGAGAGGGGGCAGACAGCATTTTTGAGAGAAACTCAGGGAAACTCCAACAAGAGACCTATAACCAAAGCTTTTCACAAAAGGAAATAAAGAAATAGTGCAATTTTAGACAAACCAAATGAGGCAGTACAGTTGACTCTCAATTCAACATAGGTTTGAGCAGTGCATGTCCATTTACATGCAGATTTTTTATAACACAGTATTGTCACCTGCTTATGATTTTTTAAATAACATTTTCTTTTCTCTAATTTACTTCATCATAAGAATACGGTATATAATACATATAACACAGAAAATATGTGTTAATCGACTGTTCATATTATCAGTAAAGCTTCCAGTTAAGAGTAGGCTATTAGGAGTTAAGTTTTTCAGGAGTCAAAAGTTATGTGCAGACTTTCAACTGCATGGCGGCGGGGTGGAGGGGTGCCCCAATGCCCTGCACTGTTCAAGAGTCAACTATATAAGCATTTCTAGATGTAACCATTTCTAGATGTAACTAAAGGATATTATAGTGAAAAACTTCAGTCTAATCACTTCTCTGATCTATCATCTAAATTAATCTGATTGTTATTTTTCCAGCATTGCCATGATCACACATTACTTAAAACTGAGATATAAATGTTAACTTTTAGCCTCAGATGATGTTGTTTAATAGAAAAATAGTCTCTATTTATAACAAAAACACACCTACTTGCTTTCGAAAACAGGTATGGCTAAACTGTCTCAAATTTGTCTTCAGTAAGGCAGTTTCTTATAAAACTTATATACTACTTAAAAATATTACAATTTAAGTGGTTTAAATATATATTACATTTGTAATGGTTTAAGCCATGGCATACTGCAGAAAAGATACTTTGACATAATTTACTGCTGATTACATAAAATCTTGATCAAGTTAAAGGATGAACAATATCCTTGATTTTGTGTTCTATTCAAATCAGTGAAAAACCCTTTAAGATTATTCTATGATATAATAATGGGCCTCAGTCTAAGGGAAAACCGAGTAATCTGGGAATCAAAAAAAAATCCAATTCAAGTGATTAAGCTTTGAGCAAATCCTTTTTGTGCGAATAGCTCCAGAAATATTATTAATGCTAGAGTTGAAAGAGGACTTGGCAGGCATCTGTCCAATTTCATTTCTCCTTCAGAAAAGCTAGGGTTAATTATTCTGATACCATTTCCTCTTTTCCTTCAGGTAATTAAAGAAATGATGTAATAACTACTGACGCTTATATACTATTTTACAGTTTACAAAATGCTGCTTCATTCATTATCTCAGCTGATCCTCACAGTAATTTTGTGTGGTAGGCAGAGCAGTCACTATACCTGTAATTATTTTACAATAGATAAAACTGAGCCTCAGAGAAACTAAACAAATCTTTCCCATTTGGCATGGCTGGTGGGGCAAATAGAGAATTTGAACGTAGGCTGTCTAGTCTTGCCACCATTCATGCTGCCTCCTTATAGGAGAGACATAAATGAGAATATAACTTAAATTCTTTGATGAAACATGATTGTAAATTCAATGCAACATTACTATTTTAGAAGTCTAAATGGTATAATAATGCAAAATAATACTCTATGTTGTTTAAAATAATGCTAAAACATAAGCTTTCAATCTTGTGTTTTTTAAAACTTTTGTATCAACATACAAATTTCATAATACCTTGGCTTGGCTTATTTTCTTTTTATAATATTTCAAATACCTGAATTTTTTATTAATATGTAGCAAAAGAACATAGAAGAGCACCAATGTTTATCTACAAACCACAAAGCAAAAAAGTTTTTGAGGGAGACTCAGTGAAGCTAGAATGCCAAATCTCAGCTGTACCTCCACCAAAGATTTTCTGGAAAAGAAATAATGAAATGGTACAATTCAACACTGATCGAATAAGGTAGGATAAGTATTTTTAGACATAACTCTAGTTTATTGGGATGAATCCAGTTGTACTTGAAATGCATTATAAATGGCATGCATTTGTAATCTCACTTTGTCTGGTTTTTAAAACATGCAGAGAAATGTAATAAACCTCATTACACCAGATTCCACTAATCAAAAACATAAGGCATAAAGTAGGCCAGGACTTACCTTTTTACTAACAATAAAGAAAGATGGCTCAAGGAAATGATGACACAAACAAAATTAAGTGGGGGGGAGGTTAAATTCAATAAAACCAATGCTACATGGCACTGACTAGGTACAGCTCAGAATTTCCAAATACTTCATTTTCTTACAGTCTGGCACTCTAGGTCACAGACATCATAAATAAACTTTCACAGGAAAATCAATTCTTATACTTTAATTTTTTATTATTGTTTCTTTCCAGTTTATATCATGATAACTCTGGTAGAGTCACTTTACTGATAAAAGATGTAAACAAGAAAGATGCTGGGTGGTATACTGTGTCTGCAGTTAATGAAGCTGGAGTGACCACATGTAACACAAGATTAGATGTTACAGGTATGTCACCCTATCAACCCAAGTGTTATAAAGGACTTAATCAGAAAGATTTAGTAAGAAACACAATCTCAGCATAATATAAAAATGTCTGGTATAAAATACGAGAGATTTTCCCCCAACAGTTCTGATTTTTTTTTTTCTTGTCCTGTCTGATATTGAATACCTAGAGCAACCCATTTGTTTAGAACATGTTTTCTGAATCAACTTCTATTTTGATCTATTTCAGTCCATCAAAGGCAAACTCTTCCGGCTCCTAAGCAGTTACGTGTTCGACCAACTTTCAGCAAATATTTAGCACTTAACGGTAAAGGTTTGGATGTGAAACAAGCTTTTAACCCTGAAGGAGAATTTCAGCGTCTGGCAGCTCAATCTGGACTCTATGAAAGTGAAGAACTTTAATGAGGTTACCAACATTTGGAAATACAACAACTACACTATTAGTAATATATTCAATTAAAATTTAAAATAAATCCATAGCTGTATTAACAGATTATGGCTTTAATTAGGTAATATAACTAATATATATTTATAATATTTATCCTTTGATTCTTACACATTCTATCTTCTCTGGTTTGCGAAGCCTAAGGAAAATCTGGGCATATGGGTTTGTAATTGTAGAAGACTATCTTAAAATGTGAGATTTTAACATTTAAGTCATATACATTTAACAATTACAGATTATGAATTAATATCAACTTTTTAAGCACATCTAATGCTTGTAATAAGGTTTACTGGTTCTGCTTTCTAAATACTGTTTTACCCGTTTTCTCTTAGAGGAATACTAACATGGTATAGATTATCTGAGTGTTCCAAAGCTTAATGTCAAAAGAGAATAAAATTTCAAATATTCAAAATAGACTTGTCTTCTCTTCACAAAAGTCTAGATCTTTGTAACTTTTGGTGTTTATATATTATACATCATGTAAAACCTAAGAATAACAATTTCCAGAAAAGCAACAATAGTATGTTCTATAACTGTATCTTAATGAAGCTCATTTACGGCTCAGTCAATTCCTCCTGAAATTCAGCTAGGCATTCCATGGTTTGCCATTTCATAAGGAAACAACCACAGTAACTTAAATCCTGACAGACTCGCTCCTGAAATTGTTATTCTGCTTTAACCAAATAAATCCGTTAAATCTTCAAGACCTCTGAGTCTACCGAGTTCAATGGAACAAGAATAGTCAGCAGATTCAACTGCTTAATTCTTTTACTTCATGTAAATTTCAATACCTATATTTGAGGGGGGGGAGGGATCCTCCTACATTTAAACTTCAGATAAGCTATTACATTAGAAAACATAATTTTGTGAGCATCTCAGAGTCTAAGTACAGGAATGGGAAAATCCTTTTATTATACTGTCCTTAAGCTAGGACACTAGCCCTTTCTTCTCAGGCCTCCTATCCACTGGCCATGGCCTTTTGCTAGGCCTCTCCTGTTTATTATTGGTAGTCTTTGACCCTTGTTGCTGTGTGGCCTCGTTTTGCTTTTCATCTGCACATAAAATAGCGTTTATCAACATCACTCTACATCTCTTTCAGAGAAATAACAAAAGAAGCTTTATTTTTTATTTCCAAAAACAGCTTGATGGTTTTCTTTGCTGGCTGCCCTAGGGCCTTTCTACTGAATTTATTTTCCTTTTTTCCAACATGAGACTCCCTCTTGTCTCATATCCTGGCGGGTTTTCGGATGCCTTAATTTACAGCCAAATTTCTTTGGTCTTTTCTATAGCTGGTTTACAAACCTTCCCATCTTTGCAAAGCTTCAGTGCCAGATGTGAGTCTGGGCTCCCGAGAACTCCTGTTAGGCCTACTCTCCCTCATGACTTCAGAGCTGGATTTTGTTTAAATCTATTTCATCATTTTCTTTAGCCATATTGGGTGGGAAGAAGGGTGGGAGCTACTTCTAGCTGCAGCTCTCGGTTCATGAGAACCGGTGTCTGCAGGCAGCAGGGGCAGCGTGGGCACCTGGTCAGGCACTCGGGCTCTGGCGTCCTGCACACCTGACCCCGCCACCTGTGGACTTCGGTAAGTCACTGACCCTCTCAGCGCCTCTGCTTTTCCAGACCTAAAATGAGGATAAAACACCTACCTTTCAGGAAGGGGGGATGTGAAGACTAAACAAGCCAATAAATGTAAAAGGTGTTCAAGAAACAGTAGCCCGTTACAATTAATTACTACGACTTTTACCACCAACCCCAGGCCCGAAGCCAGATTTGCCCTAGAAGCCGGCCCCTCCGCCAGAGATAAAGCGCCGCAATTCCTAACCCCGCCTCAGCCTGCCGCTTTCCAGAGCGTCCTCGGTGCGCACGCGCGCTTGTCACTCGTAGAAAGGCTTGCGCAGGTGGAGAAGCGGGAGGGTTTGCGCAGGCGCAGGAGCTAGGTGGCGCGTGTCGAAAAGTTACGCGCAGGCGCGGCAGACCTGGGAGGTCAAACGGGTGTCGTTTTCCAGGTCGGCCATGGCTGAGGCGTCACGGTGGCACCGAGGCGGTGAGGGGTGATCCTAGGAAGTGGTGGAGCAGGGCCGATTTGGCAATTACACATACCCTGATAGTAACTATGTAGCGCCATATCTATTCATGTCAGAGATAGGACTTCCAGCACGTGTAGCCCTCACAGCCTCCCCTTGAGACGGGGTGGACAGGGGTCCCATTTTACAGACGGAAACTGAAGCCTTGAGGGGAGGTGGCACCCGCCCTTTGCCCGAGGCTCGAGCTGGGAGCTGTTACTTGCTTTACAAATACCGTCGCTAGGCCCTTCTCCAAAGTCCTTTATTGGTCTGGGGAGTCGTGACCTCGGTAGAATCCCAGGCCAAGTCCTTTACCCCTCCAGCGGAATCCAACCTTCCCAGGAAGCAATATAGACGGTAGAGAAAACGATTGTGAAGATGAGGAATTTTTTTTTCTTTCTTTCTTTATTTCTTTCTTTCTTTCTTTCTTTCTTTCTTTCTTTCTTTCTTTATTATTTATTTATTTATTTATTTATTTGTATTTTGCTTTTTCACTTTCAGACGGGACTATTGAGAAAACGTCCATGTTATAAAATTCATTAGTGTACAGTCATAAAGTGACTGCCCGCTCAACCCCATGGGAATGTTGTAATTATTCCTCCTTCATGAAAGTGAGAATAAAAAAAATAACCAGAAGCAATTGGAGCTTGCCTTCACACAGTGTATCAGAATAAAAGTGGAAAACACAGTTCCATCATGGTTACTTATATACTTTATAAATTACATAATAATGTAAAGAAAAAATTTGTTTTATGTCTCACAGGGGCTCCGAAACCTAAGCTGCATTACAGAAAGGAAGTAGAAATTAGAACCACACTTCAGGAGTTGTCACTCTACTTTATTTTTTTAATAAACCTATGTATATGTAAGTACAGATGTAGATGAAGATACTGAACTAAGAAGTTATGTGGAGGTGAAAAGTAAAACATATGTACTTTACCATAGACTTTCAGACTAAGACTTCTAAAAAAAGTATTGACGTATTTTAGACCTATCTTAAATTCCTTTAGATGTACACTATTTCCATCTCTTAAAGGGCAAAGCTTTAAGTCGCAGACATAATGAAAAGCTTTCATCGTCAGCATTGATTGAGTTATTACTTTTAGTTGTCAGTTCTTTCTTGAGTACAGTTATTCCCTTGAGTTGGCAATTGTCACATGATGTCTTTTAGAACCATGTTGATACATTATCTCAGTTTCATAGGTCAAACTACAAATGAGGCCAAAGAAGTTAGTCTTGTCTGCTTTGCTCTTTTCCCTGGCCCATTGCACAGCTGTGTGATAGTAAAATTGCACAACAGTAAAGTATGCTGGTGCCCAATCACAGAAGGTATAGAACAATGCAAATCTTTAATAAGGAGACTAGGAAAACATATCAACCTGCATTTCACCTGTCTGTGGGTCAAGAGCATTGACTGAATCAGTATTAAGGAGTATTTTATCCTTTGAGTGCCCAACAAATAGTAGGTGTAAGCTCAATGGCCAGACGTATCACAAGTTGACATGGCCTACACATTGGCAATTATATATCCGTTAACTCCTTGGTATAGTTGGAGTGAATTTGGGTCAAATCTTGATTGAAAAGACAACTCCAGCTTAGACTGGTTTTTAAATGCTTATTACAACATTTGGGGAACAGAAAAATATAAAAGATCATAATTCCATTATTCACAGATATAAAAAAAACCTTTTTATAATTAGGAAGAATTGAAAGCAACTTAAATCTTCATCAACAGAGGATTTGTTTAACATTTTGGTATATACAGTGAAATAATATGGAACATTAAAGCATGGCATAAACTCATGTGCCACGAAGTAATGTTGAAGATAGATACTTGTAAAAACTAAAAGGTTTCTAGCAAAAAAAAAAAAAAAAAAAAAAAAAAGAGAGAGACACAGTTAGTCTATACCCTTCTCTAAAACCTACCCACCTACTCCTAGAGAGAGAATGAATATTAGTTAATAGTTTTAAAAATTCTTATCTTGTGCCAAAACATGGTTTAAGTGCTCCACATGCATTATCTCACTTCTCATAACAAAACTATCAGGTATTATCCTTATGATGGGACTCAAATCATCTGTTTGATTTCAAAGTCCATAGCTTTAACTATTTACCATTATATTGCTTACTGTAAAAATAGAGAAAAAGCTAACTGGCAGAAGACTATGCATAATGCGATCTCATTTTTGTGAAAATAAACTTATTTTCTTTATAAATGTGTAGGCATACAGAAAAATCTCAAGAATATGTGCTAAACCTAACTCTAGCAGTGAGATGACAAGAAACTTCTTCCTGTTTTGTATATTTCTATTTTCATTTTTTAAATTACTTTTATAATTAGTCAAGAAAAAATTTGGATTTTCAAAACAAGATTGGGAACAAAATCTAACTAACTTTTAATCCTGATAAACTGACTTTTTAAAGACAAATTTGTAAACAAAAATTCTTCTCCTTAGTGACTTTTGGCATGGTAAACCCACATATGTATTACTTAAACAAAGTTATGTCATCTCTATTTTTGGACACTTCTGTGCCTGGTGATGAAAGAACCAACTTTAAGTCTATTCGCAGCATAACTGATTTTTGGAAGGTAAGGTATCATGTGACTGAGAATGAAGTAGCTTATGGTATTGCATAAACAAACTCTTGGCACAAGTAATAGGCACTGGAGACATATTTGTTGAAGGAATGAGTAAAAATGAATATCATTTATTTAAACTTTTAGAATCAACCAATTAGTAAGTGTATATTGAGAACCTATGCTCTCAGTGTAATAGGGTTTTTATAACTTTTAAAAAAGTTATACTTTTTTTAACACTATCTTTGCATTTGGAAAAACATTATGTGGGGTTAGGATCCGCATCAAACTATAGTTGTGTATAGTGAAAATT